ACTAAGCTGTGGGACGGGACTCCATGAAAGTCACGAACCATCCAGTTGGTATCGAGACTCAAACTGGGAATATTTGGCTCTTTGTTAGAACCTCGTCGTTCTTTGGTTTGTTGAGCTTTACAGGTTCGATTGAATCTGGGGGGGAGGGGTCACTAACTGCCAGCCTCATCCTTCCTGTCTCTGCTTCCTCTCAGCCTAAGCTGGAGGAGAACAAGGAGCTGCTTGAGCTGAAGAGGAGCAGGATCACCAAGCTAAAGGAGACAAAGGAGGCTCTGACGTCAGAATTTAAGGCCTCCCTGGGCGAGGCTCACCTCTTCCGAGATTTCCTGATCTCAGTCTTCAGAAAGAAGGTCCAAAAAGAGGAGGAGAAGGAGGGAGATGAAGGAGGTGGGAAGGAGCAAATCCTTTGGGATTCCTTTTGATCAGGAGTCCTTTCTAACCTTGGTTTCCTTGTAGAAGAAGAAAATGACTCTGATGACGATAGTGACTGGGGTGATTATGGCGATGATGATGATGATGATGACGATGACAGCGACTCTGTGGATGACGGCCTTTGTCCTAAAGGTCAGCAGGTGAAATCTTCCAGACTTTTTCAACTCTTTTGAAGGAAGCTGCATCCTCCTCCCTCTGTTCCTCAGGCTGCAATCTGCAGCTGTTTGAAAACACGCTGCAACTGCGTCAGCGCCTCCTGGACGTGAAGCAGCAGCTGGCAGAGGAGGAAAGGGCCGCTGCTGCTCTGAAGAAGGAGACCAACCTTCTAATGCGGACGGTCAGTCCTCAGTGTTTGCAGCTGTGACCCTTTGCTGATTGTCTCCCTCACGTCCCGCCGTTCGTTTGGGCTTTTTCCTACCGATACTTACAGGCCAGTGAGATAAAGAGGCAACGGCAGGAGGGGGCAGACAGACTGGAGTTACTCGGCAACGAGAAGAAGCAGAAAATCAAAGACCTGGATATGATGGTTCCTTTAAAACTGAAACAGGTGAGCGTCCAGAATGGATGAATGAACATGAGCTGTTTTCAGATGTTTTTATCATCCTTCCTTTGACAGCAGAACCTGTCCACACTGATGCCTGATCTAAAAAATTCTGCTATGTTTATAGTTTGCTGCGGCTTTAAAGCTCAGCTCTGAAAGGCTGCACCCTCCCACAGCATGATGCTGCAACCACCATGCTTCATTTTGACAAGCATGCAGAGTTTGTCAAAGGAGGCCAGAGGTCCTGCTACTTCTAGATGTTTCCCTTTTTTTCTACATGCATGGAGTCGATCTCTACAGAGCAGGGATGCAGGATATAATCGGCCCCTATCGGTATCGGAAATCTAAATCTTAAATCAACATTAATTGAGACATTTCTAAAATTAAGTCATAAACAATATGCAGCCCTGAACTGGCCTATCCATTTTGGGTACTGAGGCTTTTAATGGGATTGGGTCTGTATTTTCTGAATGTTTAGATACTGTATATGAGATGATAAAACTGAATAGATTTTGTGCCCACATTGCCAAAATGTACTTCCTTTGTTAATGTGTCATTGATCCAAAAAAAGAAAAAAATACTGGGCCCATTGCCCACTAGATGAAGGGCCAGTATGAGTCAAGGCATCTGCGATCCAGGACAGGCTTATCAGTACACAGACCGCGGCTCTGTTCGAAAACCTGGGCTGCATCCTCCAAGGACGCGGTCTACCTAGACTGGATCCTTCGAAGTCTTTGAAAATAAGGAGACCGGAAAAGTTTTGGCTGTAAATTCGACCAGGTCTACCCTTCGGCGGGTTTTACCGCCGTATGCTCTGTTGCTTAGCAACCGTGAACGTTGACACACAAAGCAGGAAAAGAATGAATACAGAAGTTTTCAAAACTGTTTATTTATTTCTTTTTTTGTGAAGTGACAAAGACTACACTCACAAGAATA